TCTTTGAGGCCTAAACGCATATAAATATTCTTAATTTACTTTCAAAAGGGAAAATATCAAAACCATCATGGCATTTTAACATAAGTAATAATAATAATAATAATAATAATAATAATAATAATAATAATAATAATAATAATAATAGCAGCAGCAGCAACAATGGTGCATTGGAAGATCTGCAAAAAAAAATCATTTGCCTGTAAGCAAAAACTGGTGGGATCATAAAATAGAGAAAGTCATAGAAAATGATAAAATTAAACTGCTCTGGGACTTCAGAATTCAAACAGACAAGCACCTGCAACATAACACCCCAGACTTAACAATTGTCGATAAGAAAGACAAAAAAGTCTGGATAGTGGACGTGGCAGTGCCTGGAGATAGCAGAATAGAAGAGAAAGAACTGGAGAAGATAACAAAATACAAAGACCTACAAATAGAAATAGAAAGACTGTGGCAAAAGCAAGCAAGGGTAGTACCAATAGTCATAGGCTCCTTGGGTGCAATCCCAAAACAACTGGAGCACCACTTGAACACCATTGGCACTGACAAATTTGCTACTAGTCAATTGCAAAAGACGGCCTTACTAGGAACTGTTTCCATCCTGCGATGAGATCTGTAATACCATCAAACATCCACATGTGCCTATCCCAGGTCCTGGGTAAGGACTCGATAGGTAGACAAAATGCCAAATCCAGTCTGAACATCTGGCTGACTGTGCGATGATCCAAAATAATAATAATAACAACAACAATAATAATAATAATAATAAAGTTGGAAGGGACCTTGGAGGTCATCTAGTCCAACCCCCTGCTCAGGCAGGAAACCCTATACCATTTCAGACAAATGGCTGTCCAGTATATTTTTTCTTCCACAAGGTTCATTTCAGTAGCACGTTTTTTTCCCCCTCTTTACTGGGGACACAATCCCTGGCAATCGTTGGAGTGCAAGCGAACCCTCGGGCTGAAAGGGACCTCAGAGGTCTTCTAGTCCAACCCCTTCCTATGGTAGAATCCTATCCCAGACAAAATGGCCTCGGGCGGGACACAGGGAACTGCCTTTGGGTGCTTCAACTTGCACAGCGGAAAGTTGCTTTACTTAAAAGGGTTCTTCAAAACTATGAAAAGTTGGATTTCCCCCCAGGCCTCAGAACAAATGGCCTACTGGGGTTCTTAAACATGATTGAATCACTTAGAGTGGCTAGCCCAGGGGTCTTCAAACGTGGCCCTTTGATGACTGGTGGACTTCAACTTACCATGTTCTCTTCCACCCCCTCCTAAGGTATCCCTATCTTTTGGTTTAGGGTCCCGATTTAGTCTAGAGAGAAGAAAAAATAAGGGAGACATGATAGCAGTCTTCCAGTGTTTGAAGGGCTGCCACAAAGAAGAGGAAGCAGTCAAGCTATCCTGCAAAGCGCCTGAAGGCAGGACAAGAACCAACAGATGGAACCTAATCAAGGCGAGAAGCAACCTGGAATTAAGGAGAAACTTCCTGACAAAGAAGACAATTAACCAGTGGAACAGAAGTTGCCTCCAGAAATTGTGGGAGCTCCATCACTGGAGATTTTTAAGAAGGGGCTAGACCAGGGGTAGGCAGCTGGCTCAGGAATTCTGGGAGTTGAAGTCCATGAGTCATAAAAGAGCCGAGGTTGCCTACCCCTGGGCTAGACAGTCACTTGTCTGAAATGGTATGGGGTTTCCTGCTTAAGCAGGGGGCTGGACTAGAAGACCTCCAAGGTCCCTTCCAGCTCTATTCTATTCTGATTTCTTGCTCCGTTTTTGGCTTACCAATTAGCTACCACCAGGTCAGTGCTGACTCTGAGCGACCACATAGATCAGAGGTGGGGAAACACGGCAACTTTACAAACTGTGGTCTTCAATGGCCAGGAATTCTGGGAGTTGAAGTCCACGGGTCATAATGTTGCTGGAGTTGCCCACCCCTGACCCAAGACAATCTGCCCCCAGCTTGGTTCTCCAGCTCTTCCAATGGGGCCCCCAACAGCCCTGAATCCATCCACTTGCTGGCTGGTGCAGGAAATTTTTATATCGAATTACATTTTGTTCTTTATGTTTGTTCCCAGCTTTCCTTAACCCAATAACATAATCTACGATAGACTGAGAATCAGCGTCTCTGCTAGCTAACCAATAATCAAGCTGAAACTAAGTTAATCAAGTCATCATAGAAAACAGAGGAAAATCTTTCACTCAAACTTCCTCAAACAAGTTTACCCAGACCTAATCCACATACCAAAGGACAGGGTCTGTAAACACAAAGAGTTAATTAAATTGGTCTCCCCACGGGACCGAATGTTCACAAAAATAAACCTCAATACACCCATGCCCCTCAAGGGTCACCCTAGAATCAGTACATATATTGTTCCACATTTAGGACAAACTCCCCTTGTCTCTGTACCCCATTTGTCTGACACTGCCCCCTTTGCTTTTGGGAATAAATTATTTCTCCTTTCCTCACAGCTGTCAGGCTTTGATTTGCATTTCTTATTGAGCAACCCCGACTCAAACTGGAACCCCAAATTATTCTTCTCACACTGGTCACCTTCTTCTTCTCTTTCCTTCCACTTTTCCCAACGATATGAACTTCTCAAAGTCTTGACTTTGATTGATCGTGCCATCACGTCACTCCAAAGGAGCTTTTTCACAATGCAACTGGACTTTCTTGTTTTTCTTTTGAAGATGTTTCGCTTCTCATCCCAGAAGCTTCTTCAGGTTCTGACCGAATGGTGGGGAATGGGAGGATTTATACTCCTTGCAGACAGCTGCTCATTTGCCTTCTTTTAGGGCAGTGATGGCGAACCTTTTAGAGTCCGAATGCCCAAACTGCAATGCAAAACCTACTTATGCATCGTTGGGTGCTGAGTGGGTGTGGCCCATTGGTGGGCGTGGCTGCGGTGGTAACAGCAGACTGGGTGGGACTAAAAAGTTCAATCAATTCCAACTTTGCAAGACCTTTTTGTTCCCCGTGAGAAGTTGAAATTGACTGATTGATTGAACCCTTTTTTTTTTTTTTTTGCACACGATGGTGGAGGCCCAAAGCGAAAAGGTTTTATAAAACCCAGCTGAAGGCCTAGGACTGGGATGACGGCACACGTGCCCACAGAGAGGGCTCTGAGTGCCGCCTCTGGCACCCGTGCCACAGATTTGCCACCACTGTTTTAGAGAGTTGTTGAGGCCACCTGGAGGTTTATCCGTGTCCTCAGGGTCACCTGAGTGGTGCAAATGGATGTGGAGACTCCTTGGCTGCAGGACATCTTCTGCCCTGGGTCCCTTCCCTGTTCCCCACCATCGAGTCAGAACTAAAGAAGCTTCTTGGATGTGTCCTCAAGGTCACCTGTGTGGTGCAAATACAGACAAACCTCCAAGTGGTCTCAACAACTCTAAAAGCAGGCAAAGGACCAGCTGTCTGCAAGGAGTATAAATCCTTCCCTTCCCCACCATCCGTCAGAGCTGAAGAGGCTTCTAGGATGAGAAGTGAAATGTCTTCAAAGAAAAACAAGGCGGTCCAGCTGCCTCTTGAAAAAAGCCCCTTTGGGACAACCAGGAGCTGGAGGACAGAGAACCTCCATAGACATTTAGCCATGCACTTGGGGATGGACACCCTTCAAAAGGTGCAGGAGCATGAACGGATGTCCAGAAAACATTGCAGACTACAGGAACCATTTGCGCTTCAGTTGGAGATGCAGACAACACAGACTCATCCCATCATCCTGCGCCCGTCTCCAACCGCGAAGGGACCCAGGGCAGAAGACAACCTGAAGCCCAGAAGGCTCCACCCCCTTTTGCACCACTCAGCTGACCCTGAGAACACAGCCTCCAAATGGCCTCAAGGATTCTCCGAAAGAAGGCAAGAGACCAGCTCTTTGCAAGGAATATAAATCCTTCCCTTTCCCACCATCCAGTCAGAACCTGAGGAAGCTTCTGGGATGAGAAACAAAAGGTCTTCAAAGAAAAAACAAAAAAGTCCAGTTGCCTCCTGAAAAAAAAAAAAAAAGCACCTTTGGGACAACCAGAAGCTGAATCTCCATAGACCAGGGGTATGCAGCCTTGGCTCTTTTATGACTTGTGAACTTCAACACCCAGAATTCCTGAGCCAGCATAGCTGGCTCAAGAATTCTGGGAGTTGAAGTTCACAAGTCATAAAAGAACCAAGGTTTGCCTACCTGTCATAGACATCCAGGAGATTCTTGGGAACTGAAGCCACCAAGGAGACCCGACTCGCTCGTTGTGTGTTACCGGCAGTCCTCAACTTACGACCGCAAAGAGCCCAAAATTTCTGTTGCTAAGTGAGACAGCGGTTAAGGGAGCTTTGCCCCATTTTTTGCAAGCTCGCTTGCCACTGTTGCTAAGAGAACCACCCCAGCTGTTAGCCACGGGCTGTTAAGCACATCTGGCCTCACCAGAGGGGATCCTCCGGGTCACTGTGACCGTCCTAAAGTGAGTGTTGCGGTTACGTGAACCGCCGCAGTCGTTAAGCGAGCAACAGGGGATTATTGAGTGAATCCGGCTTCCCCCATTGGTCAGAAAAAGGGGATCGCGTGACTGTCATAAAGCGAGTCGGTCGCCAAGCGTTGGGCCACGTGAGGGTGGGAAGTCTGCGACGGTCGTAAGTGCGAGGATCGGTCATGTCGCTCTTTTCAGCCACAGGGTAACTTTGGGTAGGTCACTAAGCGAAGCGTCGTAAGACGAGGACGGCTGGACCCGGCCCAGGCAAGCGGATTCTCCCCGGGGACGAGGTCCGAGACCCCATCGAGATGAAGCCTTTCGGAGACCCCCCCCTCAAATAAGCCCCTGGGGGCCTCTCCCCCCCCTTAGCCCCCTCCCCGCCCCCTCCCTCGGCCCCCACCTCCGGGACCAGCCGGGGGGGGCGCTCGGCTCCCCTGCAGCCCGGCCTGGGGATGATGGGGCCGGTGGTGGTGGAGGGGGCTGGCTCGCGGCCCTCTTACGCGGCGGTTGCGGCTCGCTGGCCTCCCCCGGCGGCTCTCTCACCCTTGCGGAGCTCGCGGTGCCAGACGACGACGATGGGCCCGGCGTGCTTGCGGTGGTGGATGAGCCACAGGCTCAGCGTCTGCACGCTCTGCTGAGAGTTGCTCAGCTCCGACAGCTTCCGCTCCAGCGCCGACTCCGAGAACGACGACATGGCGGGACCCGCCGCCGCCGCTGAGACTCGCCCGCCCCGCCCCGGCCTGGCTGGACCGGGCCCCGGCCTCAGGGGCGACCAACCGCCACAAAATGGCCGCCCGCCCTTTCACCCCGGCGCCGCCGAGGGTCAGGGGGCGGCATGCTACGGGTCGCCGGAGGGGGTCAAGCGGCGGAGCAGGAGGAGGAGGGGGGGCGCCGGCACGCCGAGTTGCCAAGTGACCGCGGGAGCTCGCGGGCGCCGAGAGCCACGCCTGCGCGGTCCGCTCCGGGAAAGGGCGCGCCTGCGCGGTCCGTACCGCGCGCTCGCGCTGGCTGCCCGAGCGACGCCTCCGGGCATGCGCGGCCGCTCGCGCAGGCGCCTTGAGCGTCGGGGAGGAAGGTAAGGGGGCGCGTTTCCCCCTCAGGAGGCCCGAGCGAGGCGTGGGGCCGTTCTCCGCTGAGGGCGCTGCCCGGCTGCCCCTACCGGGCCTGGGGGGGCCTCTCCCAGGAGGGTCCCCGGGCTCTGGGTCGGAGCTAGGGGCCTAGGAAGGACCCGTGGGGGAGTCTGGGGAGGCAGCCCCGGTACGGGGTGCTTAACAGTAGAAGTTCGGAGTTCGAATCCTGCCCCGGGCAGGAAAGCCGGCGGCGTCACTTTGGGCCTAGTCCCCCTCCCTCTCCTCCCGGCCCACCTCACAGGGGTGTTGTGAGGAAAAGAGGAGGAGTACAAGTCGTCCTCCACTTACGACCACCATTGAGGCCGTTGCTAAGTAAGGTGGGTGTTAAGTGAGTTTCGGCCCCGTTTGGTGACCTTTTTTTGCCACGATGGATGCATGAATCGCTGCAGGTGTTAAGTGAATCATATGGTCGTTAACCGAATCTGGCTCCTCCCCCCCCATTGGCTTTGCTTGTCAGACACCAGCTGGGAAAGTCACAAGGGGGGAATCACGTGATCCCAGGGGGACACGGCGACCGTCATAAATACAAGTCAGTTTGCCAAGCGTCCGAAGTTTGATCACGTGACCCTGAGTGTGAAGCCTACCATAAGTCACTTTTTTCAGTGCTGTTGTAACTTTCAGTGGTCACTAAACAAATGGTTATAAGTCGAGGACTCCCCCTATTAGGTATGTTCACTGCCTTGAGTTATTTATTTAAAATAAAATAAATGTGGGATGTAGCTGAAATCAATAAAAATATCCTTTTTTTCCTCTTGCTGGCAGGATGGACGCCGAAGGAAGATGAGAGCGGGGCAGCGGCAGCCATGGCCATTTTCGACACCCCCCAGGAGGCTTTCGGAGCCCTCCGCCCCGCCTGCGTCCAGCTGACCAAGGCCCAGACAGTGGAGAACGTGGAGCGCCTCCGCTCACAGCTGCGGGCGGTCAGCGACTCGGCCCTGCAGGAGCTCCAGGAATACGTCCTTTTCCCTTTGAGATTCGCCCTCAAGACCCCTGGGCCAAAGCGGGAAGGTGTGGTCCGAAGCGTGGTGCAGTGCGTCGGCTTTGTGCTCTCGGCCACCTGCGTGAAGAAGGCGGATCTCCTCCTGGAGCTGTTCTCCGAACTCTGCGTCTGCCTGGCGTCCCCCTCCAGCCCACCCCAGCTGGCCCCGTTGTCGGAGGAACTGAAGCAAGACGTGGTCCAGGCACTGCTTGCTTTGCTCCACTCCGCTTACGGAGATGTCCTCCTGTCTCTCTACCAGCCTTCCAGCCTTCCCCAGCTGGGCTTTGCTATGTCCCTGCTTTTGGGCCTGGCCGAACAGGAAAAAGCCCGGCAGGTTAAGATGGCCGCCTTGCGGTGTCTGCAGGCCCTCCTTCTGCAGTGTGACTGCCCACAGGGTCACCAGTCCCTGGAGAAAGAGGAGATGAGGCAATGCGGGGATCTCTTTGCCTCTTTCCTCCCCGGTGTCTCCATTGCTCTCTCCAAGGTTATCACAGGAGATGTGAAGCAAGGTCACACCGTGGTGGTCTCGGCCATCAGGCTCTTCTCTAGGGCCGTCAGTCTGGTGATGGCCGATGAGCAGCTAGCGCAGCTCCCAGAGGAGAGGAAGAAACCAGCCTCGGAACAGAGTAAAATACAGGCCCTCGGGGTCCACCGAGACTCAGACTGGGCGAGAAACACCGCCTCCAAACTCTCCATCCTTATCAAGAAGGTGGTTGGATCCGGGTCTGTCCATCCTCACTGGAAAGTGCGACGGGAGCTGGTGGACATGGCTCACCTCCTCCTGACGACCTGTGGGCGCTCTTTGGTGGACTCGGCTGGCCAGTTGTTGAAAGCCTTAGTTGGCCTGGTGAACGATGAGAGCGCCGAGGTCCGGCGGGAGAGCGAGAGGGCCTTGGAGGATATTGCCGCACAGGAGTGTGTGGCCGGGAACAGGCACCTGGCCGACATCCTATGTGAGGATCTCCACTCTCTGGCCACGTCTTTGCCTCGCTTCATGACCACCCAGAACGACCAAGGCAAGACGGCCACCTTAAACCTGGTCCTTGGCTACCTGAAGCTCTTGGGCCCGAAGGTGAGCCTGGTTCTCAACTCGGCCTCCCACCTCCGGCGTCTGTCCAAGGCCCTGATGCAAGTCCTGGAGCTGGAGGTGAAGGACGTGAAGGTAGTGGAGGAGAAGAGTGGCGCCCCGGAAGCCTTTCAGCTGCCCTTGCCGGCCAGCCTGCAGAGGAAGTACTTCCGCTTCTTCACAGATGAGCGGATTTTCTCCCTCCTGCAGCAGATTTGCCGGGCTCTGGGCAGCCACGGGAATCTCTACCTGCTGGTGGATCACTTCATGGACCTGTACAGGGAATCCACTGTGTACCGGAAGCAAGCTGCGATGGTTCTCAACGAACTGATCGCTGGAGCCGCAGGGCAGGAGGCGCAGGGCGCTTCGCTGAGCTCGGAGGATCTTCTGGGGATCGTCACTTCCGTACTCGAAGAATACGTGGACTCGGGAAACTGGCATTTGGTCACCAGCTTGGAGGGCCAAGAATCTTGGGCTGAACCTGCAGATTCCAGACCTCTTGCTGTGGCGTACGAAGCGTCTCGGGGACCTCTGCCGTCCCTGGGATCCAGCCCCAGCATCCGCTGTATGAACAGCAACATTTGGCAGATCTGTGTCCAGCTGGAAGGGATCGGCAGCTTTGCCTCTGCCCTGGGGAAAGACTTCCGTTTCCTGTTGATCTCTGCTTTGTACCCCGTCCTGGAAAAGGCCGGCGACGGCACGCTCCTGGTCAGCCAGACTGCCAAGGGGACCCTGGCCGGCATCTGCCGGGCCTGCGGCTACGTCTCCATCCCTGAGCTGCTTGGGCAGAACGCCGATTACTTGGTGAACGAGGTTTCCTTGCGTCTCAGGCACCCAGTTGAGGAGGCCCAGGCCTTGCGGGTGCTGGAGGCCATGCTCCGACACTCGGACGCCCGGGTGGCCCCCTTGGTGGAGGACCTGGTGGGAGATGTTTTGTCCAGGTTGGATCACTGCCACAGCGAACGGGCACCGTCCTTCCTGGGGGCTCTCCGGACCCTGATGGCGTCACTAGGTAAACTACGAATGAAAGATTGGGGAGGGTTTTCGGAATGCCGGAGCCTCAGAACTTGCTGCTGGTTTTACCCTTAAGGCAGTGTTTCCCAAACTTGACAATTTTAAGGCATGAGGACTTCAACTCCCAGAATTCCACAGCCAGCGTTGCTGGCTGTGGAATTCTGGGAGTTGAAGTCCTCATGCCTTAAAATTGTCAAGTTTGGGAAACACTGCCTTAAGGTAATAAACTCACATTTCCAGCCCTGTTCGCCTCCGGGTCTGTTGGACTTCAATTCCTTTGTTCCCCAGCCAACACAGGTAGTCCTCAATTTGCAACTGGATGCTTAAGGCAGAGCCCCCCAACCTTTTGGACACCAGGGACCATTTCCGTGGAGAAAGGTTTTTCCACGGACCGGAGGGTGTGTAGTTTTGTGTGCTGCCTGCATCCCACGGAGGGGGCTTTGCTTGTTTGCATGCCGCGGTCCGGTACCGGGTGTTGGGGACCCCTGGCTTAAGGTTAATGTTTAAAGTTCATCACCAATTAAAAAACTTACTTGCCACCAGGACCTGCCACCAGTCCTCAGAATTTTGACTTCCACATCACAGACACACACACACACACACACACACACACACACACACACACGGCTACGCGATCGTATTTTGAGTGCTTGGCAGCCGGCTAGCATTGGCAACCGGTCGCAGCACCCTGGGGCCACCTAATTGCACTTTTAAATGTTTTTGCCCTTTTCTGACAAAAATGCCCATTGGGCAAGCTGGATTTGGAGTTACAGCCGTGCGGTTTGCCTTAATGACTGCGTGTGTAACGACCGTGTGTAAAAACAGTCATAAAATTGAGTCCGGTCATAATGGTAAATCGGCTTACGACTGCAGCCATTTACAGCCAAACTTTTGAGCTCTGTTGTGGTCGTAAGTTGAGGACTCCCTAGATGAGTCCGTACTGGAATCCATCTACTTCCGGATGTCCTAAAGGTGTTTTTTTTTTTTTTTTTTTTCAGGAGGCAACTGGACTTGCTTGTGTTTCTTTGAAGACGTTTCGCTTCTCATCCCAGAAGCTTCTTCAGGTTCTGACTGGATGGTGGGAAATGGAAGGATTTATACTCCTTGCAGACAGCTGGTCTTTTGCCTTCTGTTGGAAAGTACTTGAGGCCACTTGGAGGCTTATCTGTGTCCTCAGGGTCCCCTGAGCGGTGCAAATAGAGACAAACCTCCAAGTGGTCTTAATGACTCTGAAAGAAGGCAAAAGACCGGCTGTCTGCAAGGAGTATAAATCCTTCCCTTCTCCACCATCCAGTCAGAACCTGAAGAAGCTTCTGGGATGAGAAGCGAAATGTCTTCAAAGGAAAAACAAGGAAGTCCAGATGCCTCCTGAAAAAAGAAGCACCTTTGGGACAACCAGGACCTGGATGGCTGCCCATAGACACTTACCTCTGGAGCAGTGGTTCTCAACCTTTTTAATGCCGCGACCCCAACCGGTCATAAGTTGAGGACTACCCAACCGGTCGTAAGTCAAGGACTACCCAACCGGTTGTAAGTCG